TGATGAACATTCCCAGCACAAGGATGAAGGATGGTGTGAAGGCCATTGTAGAGTGCGGAGGTTTCTCATAAAAGCCGCTTTTAATAGAAAAAAAAGGGCACACCGTACCACATTTAATTAAGCAAGTAAAATAATGTGACAGTGAAGGCGTGATTGGAGGATATAGGAAATGTGAATAGGCCAGGGCAGAATTGGAGATACCATAACCGTTTAGCACAGGTTTGGTCAAAGGATCAGCTTCACTTGTCTCTTTGACGAGTTTGTAACATGGTGCTACGAATGGTAAAACTCACTGACGATGCCGACACGATGGGCGAAACGTCTGGGAATGTACCGCGTCCACAGTCCGACTTTGAATATAATTATGCATACAATGGACTCAGGACAAGGTGCTTTCCTATTAGTCTTCCTACCAATATGACCAAGTTGCAAAAACAAGGTCAAATAATTTCTATATATCTTTCTGCTCAAAAAATTATTCGCTAGGTCACTTTACAAAGTACATTTATTACTAATAATAAACTATGAACAAACTAAATATTTTAGTCTCTTTTTTTGCAATTTGGCATTGCTTTTAGGGCGACCTAAATGCGCACACTTGCCAGATGCCCCCTTTCCTACTATCACATAGGGTACTACGTTTAATAATTCTTCTCGCTTGATTTGCTTTTGTCTACATAGCATTATTTTATTTCCAACCGGCAAGAATTGGTCTGCTATTCTATAAGACCTTTTGTTGAATCCATCTACCACATAGTTATACTTTTCGCTTATATTAAGCTTTAGCAGTAAGTCGTGAGGTTACCTTTCTTTCGCTATTTACATCCTTTTATAAATAGTAAAAGCGTTAAAAATGTCGAATAAGAATATTATTATAAATACTAACCATTCAACTTCTAGAACAAAAACTTGAGTCCATCTACCTCGCCTAAATTGATGTATAGAGTGATAGGTTCGAAACACTTTCATATCGATAGCACCACTATATGTTATTTGGTTGAAGCCTGAATTACCTGACCCCTGCCACCAAATATGTGCTACTCGAAACGTTATCCATACATTGCCTTTGATGGCACGTATACTCCCGCCTCAAATAGGCTCGCAAAGTCTTGATTCTTAAGTCGGATGGGAGACTAACACGCGTCTATAGATTCCGAGTATTTTTCATGGTCAAGCCCTTGCTTCATGGACCACGTCTACTGTTAGCCAACTAGATCTAGTCTCCGTCGCATCTATCGTTCTTCCATCCTTAATGCCAAGACTATGGCGTCCTATTGTCTGGTCTATTGCTTACAAACCCACAAATGTTGTGGTCCTACTTGCTTTGATAAGGCTCACTGTAGATGTCTCTTGGTTTCTGCTTGTTCCTTTCTGGTCTCCTTGCGATTTCTTCTCCTAAAATTAAATTTTCGGATCTTCTTCGAGTTTGTTTATGGAATATGCGAAGTTTTCACTCATCCTACTTATTAGATTTCTTTCAGTCTGTATCTCGATAGCCTCTCGGATCTTGCGTTTTCTCGCATTTCCACCATATGCAGAGAGCCTTTCCGACGGTTTACATTCGATTTCGTCTTCCGTCCGTGCAATGCGTTCCTATATTTCGAATCTTTCCGTACCCATACTTTTACAGAGTCTTTGATGTTCC